GCAAAAAAAAAAAAAAAAAAAAAAAAAAAAAAAAAGCAATGGTGTTGCTAAAAAGAAAATAAAAACAACAACATCAAGGATTGAGCAATGAGTAAAAAAGTTTAACTGTAAAGAAGAGGACTAGATTCATCATACAACTAGGCTCTGGGTGGTAAGGGTAGTTCTTTTTAAACCAAAAGATCCTTATTGGTATTAGGAGAGTGAACTTTCCAGGTGTTGCCCATTAGCTTGTGGTATCTGGGCTTACCAATTAGGCTAGTGCTAGGTGGCTGGCAGTTCATGCTATAAGCCTGGGAAGTCCATCTCGGAATTATGGCTTCCAGGTACCTCTGTTTCCTATGGGTGCCCGCCTTGGGATTATAGTGGTGAGTGTCTCTGTTCTTTATGTGAACTATCCAATTCAGTACTCTCTTGTCCGGTCAGGAATAGGTAGCATCAGGTTAGGTGCCACACCCAGTGTCAGGTTCCAGCCCATGCTGAGGTCTGAAGGGACAGGTTAGATGGGTGGCAGATAGCTAGCTGAAAGAACACTCGGGGGGTTGTAGGCAGGTAAAAGATGGTTTTACTCAGCGGCTCTCTTACACTGTCTGTTTCTGTCTCAGCTGCCTGCTCTGGCCCTGCAGCTTCCGCCGCTCCCACACCTGCAGCTGCATTCCCTGGTGTGCAAAACCAGCTCTCCCTTACAGGGTGGGCAGCTTAATTCTCTCTGGGCATGAGCCAAGCCATGCTGTGCTGTATGTACAGCGTCATCAGGGCAGTTATACCTTTTACAAACAAAAGTGGCTCTGAACCAGGCAATGAGCCTTCCCATTTTATATCTACATAGCTGTGATTATATAACAAAGTTATGCGCCTGTACTCCAAATTCACCGAGTCACGCAGGATGTTTACCTCGGCCTACTCTTGACCAAAGCACACCCAGAATGTCTCTGGTTAGTATCTGGGTGCTACCAACAGCTTGGAGTGATTTTGACTTCCATGTCTAAAGAGATAATAGAACAGTGATTTTAGGAACCCAAGAGAGTAATGGTATGACAAGAGCTGTGGTCTTTGGTGGAGACACAGCCAGTCTGTGAACACAGCAGGAAGGGAGCTAAGGGAATTACTAACTGGATCTCATTTTCTTCTATCCTCCAATCTCTTAACAAGAAGCTCCAACAGAGGATCCTATTGATGCAGTCCATGTAGGCAGGTTCCTAGATCCGAGAGCACAGTAAAGAAAGGGAGAGAGTAGACCTGGAGGGACACATGGTGTCCCTATCAGAGCTAACTTTTACAATGCCTCTTTTCATCTTGCTTCTTAAGAATCTATAACCTATCTTGCTTTCATAAGCCCTGTTCCCCGCTTCATGTCTGATATAGCTCATGTAGTGGAGACCATTTCTACTTGCTTCTTAGGCAAAACTGGAAGGACAGTTGGGAATAATAAGAATCCATTTGTTCTGGATTAACTGTGCTCCCCCAACCCCACCCAAATTCATAGGTTGAAGCCCCAACCCCCAATATGATTCTAAGTGGAGCTAGGACCTATAACTTTTAAGGAGGTAATTAAAGTTAAATGACATCATCAGAGTGGATCCTTAATCTAATAGGACTGGTGTCCTTGTAAGGAATAGGATCAGGCTAGTACTGTATGTGCATGTGTGTGCACAGAGAAAAGGCCATGTAAAGACACAGTAAGAAGACAGCCATTTAAAAGTGAGGGAGAGGCCGGGCGCGGTGGCTCACGCCTGTAATCCCAGCACTTTGGGAGGCCGAGGCGGGTGGATCACGAGGTCAAGAGATCGAGACCATCCTGGTCAACATGGTGAAACCCCGTCTCT